CCAGTTTGTGGGTGACGAGTCAAAAAGTAGCATGGCTTTGCGTGCGCCTGGCGTGGCGGTCCGGATTGAGTACATGGACGATGGCAGTGATCCCTCTTTGAACGCCGAGCTTCGTGTTGACGGATCCACCAACACTCTGCTCCCCACCGTGGTGCCTATCATTATCGACATCTCCGATAGCATCAAATCAGTAGTCCGTGAAAAAGATGACAAAGGAACATCTGATTCGCCTAACCAGCCCGAACAACCACAAGGACAATCTAAGCCAGCTGCGAAACTTCTAGAGGACGAGAACATCATCACAGCCGATCCTGCCACGCTTTTGGGTAGAACGAGGCTAAACCTCGGGCTCAGGATATGCAAGCAAGAGTTCAGTCTTAGTTGCCAGCCCATCGCTCGCGTTGCAGCAATTGCCAAGGTCGAAGACATTTACATTACCGTCAACAGCGTCAAGTCTCAAGAGCATGGCCATTTCTTTGCTGCGTCCGCCATGTTTGAGAAGCTTCAAACCACTGTTCAACATGTCTACTCTCGCGAATCCACCTTCAGCCTCGATATGGAATCTATTGTTCTCTCGCTCGTGAATAGCAAACATCTCAGCGGCACTAGTGGTATTTCTGCTATTCTTAAGATCAATCCGACCGCTCTTCAGATCAATGCGCGTCAACTGCAAGACTTTTTGCTGTTTCGAGAAATCTGGGTACCCCCAGAAATCAGGCGGGCATCCAAGCCGACACCGGAAAATGTCAATTTCGAGCCACAAGAGTACCTCATACAACGCTACCAGCAAGTTGCTGCGGCTACGGCCTTTCCATGGAACGCCAACATAGCTATCGCAGATGTCAAGGTTGATCTAGACCTTGGTCAATCCATTGGAAAGTCATGGCTACATATCCATAACCTGTGGGCATCTTCTAAGAAGACTACTACAGCGGAGCAGAATCTTTGCGTTGGTGTAGAGAAGATTGGTGTCGAAAGTACCGGTCGTACAAGTGGTTTCATTGATCTACATGATATCAAAGTGCGCACTTCGATTGGATGGCCACTGCAAGATCCAGGCACTCGTCAAACGCCGCTCATTCAAGCTTCAGTGGCTTTCCGTCAATTGCGTGTTAAGACAGGTTTCGACTTCCAGGCTTTCCTCATGGCAGATATTGCTGATTTTGGCTTCATGATGTACAACGTCCGTCCAGAAGGTGATGATGTACAAGACCGACTGGTTGCCATTCTCGATGGTGGCAAAGTCCACGTGTTTTGCCATGCGACGAGTGCTGCGCAAGGTCTAGCACTGTGGCAGGCAGTTGAGCGACTGATTCAGGACAACCAACAAGCATACAAGCAGTCTCTCAAGGACATCGAAAAGTTCCTTCGTCGCAAATCGTCCATAGCTGAACCGTTCGATCGTTCGCCATCCCAGAGCCAGATTCTCCCGAAATCCGACCAAGACAGCTTCAAGGCACCAATCTCACTACATACGGACGTGGTGCTGACACTTCGCTCAATACGCTTTGGTGTCTTCCCCTCAACCTTTATAGACAACCAGGTCCTGATGCTTGAAGCCGGCGACATGCAAGCCCGTTTCGCCGTTGCGCTCGAAAAGAAAAACAAGATACATTCCAGTCTAGGAATGACGCTAGGCCAGCTCTCAGTAGCCCTCTCCTCCGTACCAACACCCAAGAAGAGCAAGCCCGTCACCGAACTCGATGTCGAAGACGTCTCCACAAGCGTCAGTTCCGCCCGCGGCGGCACCATCCTCCGGGTCCCCAAAGTCATCGCAACAATGCACACCTGGCAAGTTCCCAAAAGCACGCACATCGACTACCTCTTCCGCAGCTCCCTCGAGGGCAAAGTCGACGTCGGCTGGAACTACTCGCGCATCTCCTACATCCGCACCATGTGGTCTAACCATTCTCGAACCCTCGCCTCGCGCCTCGGCAAGCCCCTCCCAGAATCAAACATTAAAATCAGCACATCACAAACCCTTCAGGATGCTTCCGATAACCCCGACTCCAGCGCCTCGACGACGGATAAAACAGCCATGCCCTCGGGCCGTCCGCGCGCCCCCTCCACATCCTCTGACAATCAAGAAAAGATCACGGCGGTCGTTAATGTCCCGCAGTCGAAATACGAGTACACGCCTCTTGAGCCGCCATTGATCGAAACACCGCAGTTGAGAGATATGGGTGAGGCGACGCCTCCGCTGGAGTGGATCGGGTTGCACAGGGATCGTTTGCCGAATGTCACGCATCAGATTGTTATTGTGACGTTGCTTGAGGTGGCGAGGGAGGTTGAGGAGGCGTATGAGAGGATTTTGGGGAGTAGTTAGATGTTCCTTTTGAGATGGATTGATGTGGGAAGGAGGAGGGAGCATGAAAGAAGGAGAGGTGTGTATACATCATATTTTTTTTGTGCGTTGAGCAAGGCGTTACTACGGGTTGAGTTTGGGAAACGGTAGCATAGGTTTGGCGTTTGTAAATGTAGAATTGGTTTTAGTCGATCTTCTTTTTTTGGTTTTGACAGTAATTGTCTTCACCAGAAGAATGAAAGTTATGTATAGAAGCAGAAAATGGAAAAGCTATTCGATTTATTTAACACTTCCCTCGTGCAGATGTTGATTCAATCGGGGTTTTGCCTTCAGCAAAGAAAATGATATATATTCCCAAAAGCGATGATGAGAAAGTGTGTCTAGTATTAAAAGATTGAGAGCGAGCAAAAGCGAGGGGCAGAGGAATTCCGGGCAACGGATCCGGTCCTTTTGTCGGAAGCAAATGCAATGTCTTTTCCCTTTCGGCCCGCTGCAAATAACACCTTCTCTTCCTTCCTCGCATTGCAAAAGTTTAAACTACGAAAATTTTAGAAAGTATCGCGGTTCATACTAAAGAGGAAAGTTTTGAATTGATCCTATTGAAACTCCTCCGCTCTCTCAAGTAAAGTTTCTCCCGATTGAATCTGACGTCAGCTGCTGTCATTCCAACCGGGGAGAGAAATCTCGTTCTGGAAGGTATTTCTTTTTGGCGTGTTGCTCGGGTGGGTTAAAATAAAGTTCTCCGCTAAAGGTACCCTGTTTTCGATTTGGAATCCGTTTTTTCCCGTATGCTATACCTAATCTACATTTCCGTGTAAGACAAAAGAAATGGACGTAGAAATAAGGTTATTACGTTCCGAAAGGGGGGAGCCTCTGTTCGGTTTTTGCGTTCTTTTGAGTTTTGGACTACGGAACTAACGATACCTACTGGGTTACCCATTGGAGAAAAACGCTCCTTACAACTGGCGGTTTGTGAACGTGCAATTCGACTAGATCCTGTGTGATTGATAGTGGGCGCTAGCTTATCAAGTCATCATGATGAAATAGAGTTCTGAACCAAAATAACTTCCTCTCTGTATTCTACATTCAGATTCCGGAAAGTTCTTGGCTACGAGAATAGGTTGCCACTTCCTTATCGAAGCGCCCCAAACTACAAGGGCAACAGAACTGATATGGAAACCTTTGAACCGAACAGGCCCAAACGTATCATTGGATGCGCATCCTAGCTTTTTTCCGCGTTGCATGGAATTGAACGTTCTTGGCTGTTGAAACTTCTAGGTTTTATCCATGCCTTGTTTTGTTTTGTAATCGGTTTTCGTCTCGAAAAGATAGTTGATGATGGTAGAATAGAGTTTCGGAGCTACTTCGCAAGCCGTTACGCTCTATCTGTAAAGACCTAACGCAGAGATTTAGCCCTTTAAGCCTTGCACGTGTAGATGACTGAACCTCGGAGAGCTATCTGTAACTTTTCTTAGTTCGTAAATAATCCTTGTATATTGACGCTGTCGTTTGTATCTGTGAAGTTTTAGTGCTTAGAACAACCGAAGTAGCGGTAGACAACAAATCCACGCAGATCAATCATATCCGACTTCCTCATTATCAACCCTTACGGCTGCAATATATAAAGGATGAATAGAATCGATCATTTTAGAATCATCACTGCAACTTCCACATCCAAGTATCCGACTTCAAAAACCTTTACAACTATTCTTTCTCAATCAAAAAATCAACATATCCTCAAAATGCTTTTCACAAAAGCTGCGATTGCAGTTGCGGCAGTAGCCAGTATCGCTTTGGCTGCACCAATAAACATGAACGGCGTAGCTGCCCTAGCCCAGCGCAGGTCGACCAATGTCCATCCATGTCCTTCGGGCGAATGTAAAGGGAAGCGCTTTCGAGCTTAATTTCAGTGACGGGCTCCTGGGATGGTCCTCCCGACATCACCAAGGTCAAACGCCAAAACAACTGAGTTCGACCTATATCCCGTAGACGACAACAACAACAAGAATGAGAAGCTTCAAAGTATAGAGTGGATATGGGACGCAAAGGGATGGAACGAAGACGGGTAGATGGATTTATTTTCAACACTAGATTTTCTTTTTACGAAGGGATGTAAGGGGGAAAGGGGGACGCAGAGCAATCAAGTACTACCGGTGATTACGATCAGTTGGAGCCGGATAGTAACAGGACAAGCACAAGTTCTTAGCCTTGACATGTTTTGCGAAAACAGGCTTAAAGGTGTCACTTCGAAGATGGCGTTTGCGACTGTTGGGCCTGGACAAGTACCATATTACCCCAGAAATTGTAGCATGGAAATAGGAATGATTAAGGGTGTTTCTTTTTCAGTTTGGTATCGTTACCACAATTTGATTTCTTGAGTAGGCTTCTATATTCGCCAAAATGATTATTACCTCACAAGTGCTCGCTGTAGATAATACTTGTGCTCAACCCTATCAATCGTGCTGCTATCTTGTATAATGTAGAATTGTGTACCACAAGATTATTTACTCCGGCACTGTATCCGTTTATGAGACACAACATGTCAATTGTACTATTGATCCAAGAGAAGTCCAACGCCATAAACAAATAGGTATCTCATAATCAAGTCGTGAATAAACGCCATGCCCTAGACCCCGACGCCATCATCTAAACCACGATTGGCGCCCAGTGCGAATACGAATACTCCCGTGCCAACTCAAAGTGTCCGCCAGAAGTAATTTGTGTAAAAGTGTCGCGAAAACTTGGGGTCAATATTGACAACATGTACGTCTCCCTTTGCAGCATTGCGAATGACAGCCTTGTTGTACTCGCCGGTGGTCGGGTCAGCCTCGACGTCGATGCCGAGGGTACGGTAGAGTTTGAGTTTCAATCTGCAATACCTGTTAGCCTTTCACTTGTTACTCACGGGGGTTTCAACTTACACAGTAGCATCTTCGCCTGCCTTGGGATCGACACCCCCTTCGACACCCTCCTCTTCTAGCTCGCTGGCTACATTTCCTAGTCTTGCCAGGTCACTTTGCAGTCTCTCGCCCTCGATTTCCAAATCGCTGGCTTGTTTCGCAATCTTGAACTTCTCGGTGTCGAGTCGTAAAATCTCAGCCGCGTGGTTGGTAGGGTTGTGCTGTGATAGTGTGTGGTTGTGGTTTGCGGAGAGTGTTTGGTGAGTGCGGTTCAGCGCGCTTAGAGAGGACTGGATGGAGCGCAAGTGCTGTGTGCGGAATTCGCTCAGGGTACTGAGAGATTCGTTGATGCGGTGAAGCGAAGTTTTGTCATTACCAATTTTGAAGTGCGAGGTGCATTGCGCAATGAGCTGCTGGTGTGTTAGTCGTTGTGCGCCAATCGCATGGACAGGATGTTCCTTACGGCAGCGGGATCTTCGTCAAGAAGCATTGTGAATAGTTTACTTGGATCGCGTGACGAATGTGTGGGTATCTGAGTTTGATACAACGTGTGCTTGGGTGTGGTGTGGCAGACTGGTGATCATGTGTATGGCGAGGGAGGCGTGGTGTTGATGTTCTTGTTTGGATGGCCCGTGCTAGCAGCGCGTGCATGGCAACGGAGTCTGTGATTGTGGCGTGAGACGCAGGTGTGGCGCATTTGTGGCGTTTGCAAGATCCGAGGCGTACGTCACGGTAAAAGATCGCCTGCTCGGCTTAGGCACCTGAAGCTTTCACGAGACCGCCCGCTCCTGACGCCGAAAACCTCTACCAAGTAACCCTACGATACCCACCTACAAAGGCCTTTTGGAAGACGCATTTTGACTTGGTTTTCCCACAACACCAGCCGTCGCCATGCCGCCGTCATTACCGTGTGAGTGGGATAACGACTTCTGGGCCGACGAACGCTCATTCCCCTTAGATGCTGCCGATGTAGAGTCGCCTCTTAAGCCTGAAGAGCTGCAAGTCCTTCGCGCACAGTACGAGAAAGAGGGCGAATATGTTGGGTTGCAGACAAAGTTCAACTACGCATGGGTACGACTTCCCCGCTCTAACGGCTGTACCTCCACATGTGCGCAACGCCATATGCGACAACCAGGCTCATGATACTTTAGGGCTTGATCAAGTCAACCTCTCGTCCCGACCAACAAGAGGGCGTGCGCTTGCTCTCTGAGATCTTTCGCAACTCGCGCGAGCGTCGGCGCGAATGCCTCTACTACCTCGCTCTGGGCAACTACAAGCTCGGCAATTACGCTGAGGCCCGACGATACAACGAGCTCTTGCTGGAGCTGGAGCCTGCAAACTTGCAGGCTGGGAGCTTGAAGAGTCTCATCGACGAGAAGGTTGCAAAGGAAGGGCTTGTAGGCGCCGCGATTGTGGGAGGAATTGTTGTTGCTGCGGGCGTGGTGGGGAGCTTGCTACTAAGGGGTGGCCCGCGCAGATCGTGAAGTATGACCAACGGCGTTTCTCAGTCAAGATCAAGACGGAGGAACGGTAAAAAGTTGGGCATTCGTGCGCGTTGATGATACAAACACTTGGAAAGGCGTTGGTGGGCTCTATACCTCTGGCCAAGATGGTCAAACAAGACGACATTTGAATACTTTGTAAATACAAAACCCTGTAATTCGCATTTGTGACCACGGACGAATACCAGCAGATGTCTGCGTCTGCTGCGTCGTCTGAATGTGACTGCTTCAACGGGTGGACAAAGCTGGAAGCCAATGGAACATGAAAGAAACCGAGGGACAGTCAATGGAACAAACGTGCCGCAGAGTCACGACCGGACAATCAATCGCATCGTGAACAAAATCACGCCAGCCGACCCGAGCATCCTCTTACTTCTCGACTACGCCCATTCAAATCCGGTTTTCCTCAAGCGCCCGTTAGACGAGTTCCGATCGTCTAAGACGCCCGCGGCGGGACATTCGTTGGATCCCTGCCCCGATAGCAACGTCATTTCCATCTGACATCGTCCGCACCAAATCGCCAAATCTCGCCGCACGCTTCTTCTTGACATTTCTTCTCTGCCAATCCACGATCTATTCAGCGCTTCTGGACTTCACAGTCATACTCTGTACCTGTCTGCATCTGCAGGGCGTCCCCACTTGGACAGCGTAACTGCCGACGGCGCATGACAGGGCTCCGAATTGATTGACTTGGGCGGTAGCTTCCGATCGACGTTTGTGCCTCTCCACTACTAGAGCGTTGCTTCCTGACTGGATCACTTGCACCAAACTCTCGACTACGCCCTATCACCCTACATATTATCCTACGCGATACGTACGCTATCATGGACCGGTCAAGTGGTGAGAATGCGCAATCACAAACCCAGCGGCCCGGCCACCGCGACATGATGTTTTGTCACGAATGCGCCGATGAATGGTACCGGGACGAACATGGTCTATCCTGCCCAGAATGCGGCTCAGACTTCACAGAGATCGTGAGTTGAGGCCGTCAGACCCAGCTTCCAGCTCACCACACGAGATGAAGCGGACATGAGTCGACTTTTGCTAATCCGGACCAGATTGAAGAGAACAATGACCCCCGAGACAGTAACATGTTTGGACATGACGGCGACGACTCTGACTCCATACCTGGTTTTGGACAAGGCCAACCTCGCAATCCGCACCATAATTCGTCGCATAATGACGATCCAGAGGAGGACGACATTAGCAATATTCGATTCGTACAGACCGCCCCCGGACGCTACAACCTACAAGCTACTGTCACCAGGTCCGTGTCCCCCCACGGAGGCATGCCACCAGGATCCATAGGCGGCTTTATGGCCATGCTGAACGGCTTGACTGGCGCTGGCCTACGGCCGCAGGGCCAGCAACAGACTCCGGGGCAAGGCCAGGGTGAAGGTCTCTTTTCTGGCCCAGGGACCAATCAGAATCATTCTGCTTTCCACGAATCACAGAACGAAGGTACAGAAGGAGGCCCTCAGATCCGGGGAGGAAGATTCACATACCACGGTGGAGTTCGTCTCTTTCCTCCCGGCGGAAACGGCGCTGGGCGGGCCGAGCCTGTGGACGAGCTAACAAAGTAAGCAAAGCATACTGATCCATGACGATGCAATTGCTAATAAGGTGGATAGCGTTATGACGGGGCTCTTTGCCGCTTTCGGTGCACCTCCTGGCCACGTTCACGCCCATGCCTTTCCTCAAGGCGGAGCCCAGGGCTCTTTTAGTGGAGAGCACACTCATGGCCCTGGAGAACGGGTCATGGGCAACCCCATTCTCAACTTGTTCTCTGCAATGGGCATGATGGTTCCTGGGGCTGGCAACATGGGAGACTTTGTATATTCACAAGAAGGCCTCGACCGCATCGTCTCTCAGCTCATGGAACAGACGGCGACCAGCAATGCACCCGGCCCCGCCACTCAGGCTGATATCGACGCCCTACCCCGGAAAGAAGTTACCGAGGAGATGCTAGGCGAAGAGCACAAGGCTGAATGCAGCATATGCATGGACGAGGTCAATATCGGTGAACAGGTGACAATGCTGCCGTGCAAGCATTGGTTCCATCACCCGTGCATATCCGCATGGCTGCTAGAGCACGATACCTGCCCGCATTGCCGAAAGGGCATCACCAAGGGTGGTCAGGACCAGTCTGGCAACCCTGCCCCATCGGGCGGTCACGATGATCCCACATCCCAGATGCCTGGTGCGTTTACTGCGGGTTCAGGCACGTCGACTGACCCCCACGATGAGCCTGCAGCATCCCCAGGTCCACAATCCTCCACCGAGGGCAACTCGTCTAATAACGTAGATGCAGGCTCAGGCAATGGTGGCATCAGCGACCGGATACGAAGGGGTCTGTTTGGATCTCCACATTAGTTCGAATGAGCAGTTTGTGTTTTGTCAATATTAGCTGACACTCTTTTTTGTTTCATGCACAGGACGGAATCATTTGAGGAGGAGCAGAGAAGTTTTCCGTGAGGCGAGAAGAAACCGGCGGAGCGATACTGGCGGATATGCATGGGGCGAGAGTCAACTCAGTCGAGAAATCATGTCGAGGACCAGGGCTATCGCCCACCCTGGACATGGCCAGCAAATGGCTTTGCTGCACGTCTTGCACCGCCGTTCGCAGTCGGAGGGGGCACAAGTGCAGACGGGGCGATCGCCCAGTGGCGCTCCCACGTGTGCAAGTGGAGGTGCTCCACCGCCTGTTTGCTCGTCTGAAGACGACGGTGCGCAGCCTGGTGCTGAGTCGAGGGCGGTCAGGCGGAGCTGGCGATCGGGTCTTGCAGCAGCATCAGCATCAGCTCGCACAAGGCGTCAACGGTCGACATGAGTCGAGGGGGTGTGCATTGGCCGTCCATTACAGTGGTTTAGCGGGTGGGCCTTTCTTGATGGGTGCTATTTGGCGTTTCTTTGTTTGCCTTGATTCCTCTTTCCCCCCGGCGTGTGAAGATGTGTTTTAGCGGGTTTCCTTGGTTTACATGAGTGTATGTGTGTTTATTTCCCCCTCCCTTTCCATTCCTCCCTCCTCGACGGATGGCCAAGCAAGGTTTAGGTAGTAAGCATAGTCTAGGGCGTTTTGAAGCTTAAATTGAGTTTCCATCACTTTTTCACTAGTGAACTATTGTAAATTGTTTTGCTTGATTGTGGGTGGTTCATAATATGTACGTTTTTTTTTCATACGTACACCAACTTACACAGAACGGAATGAACGTTGAACAGGGTAGGTGCTTACCCACACCACGGCACACAAATAACGAGGGGGGCTTACCTTTTTTTTACCTTTCAAGCTTCCCCCGCCCTCTTCTCCCCCCACGTAAATTGACTGAATAACCCCCATATTCGCAGCAAGCTCTCCTAGTTGGTGCATACTAAAAAACAAACTTGCCGGGTACTATCACCACTATATTATTGCTATTTTTTTTCCGCGGCTTATCCCCACCCACCTCTCTGCTCGGTCTTTTTTTTTTTGCAAACTCAGCGGTGCGTCGAAGGAGCATAGCTTACACTATTCTATGTATGTACGTCGATTTGGACTAGGTAAGTTGGACTTCAACGGCGGGGGGGGGGGTTTCAATTTCTGTTTCTTGCTCTTGCGGGTTTTATCCGTTTTTTTTTATTCGGATGAGGCGGGCGGGAAATGGTTTTAATTTAGAGTAGTGCAGTGTGATGATCTTTTGTGATTGGGAAGAGGCGGTGGAGGAAGGGGGGGGGGAAAGATAGTGTGAAGTGAGTGGCTGGGGTTGAATGTTTGGTTGGCGCGGGGGAGGGGGATGGGCGGCGCTTGTGCTTGCTCAACGGGCGAGGCGGCGGGTGCGGATATGCAGGGTATACTTTTCGAAAGGGAAAGAAAGGGACGAGGAAAGGGGAAAAAAAGGCCGACTGGCGTGGGTGTTTGGAAGGGGGGTTTGAGATGGTGTGGTGATACGCGTTTGATGCGGTGAGGGATACGAATGAAAGATTTTTTTCTTTGCATGTCTTGATGTTGGGA